TACAAATACCTGAACTTGTCTTCCATGACATGTATACAGCGGCCGTCTTGTAGTGCACTCAATTTCACCTGTCACTTTACAACATGTTTCGGCAACATAGTGCCATTATCAGGTGTCCCAATTACGTCAATCTATTGCATTACTTGCCCTCATATGTTTTCATAACACCATTTAAAAAGTATTTAAAAAGTCCGTATTTATCAACTATGATGATGGCACTATGTTGCCGAAACATGTTGTGAAGTGACCGGTGAAATTGAGTGCACTGCAAGACGGCCACTGTTTACATATCGTGGATTAAAATCAGTGCAACAGGACGCTAAAATATAACATTCTGAACTTGTCTGTTTGAATTACTCATACAGAACTAAATTCACTTTCAAAATTTTCAGGACAAGAAGGCAGGTTGTTAGGAGTGGACGGGTATGTTTGGTGAGAGGGGGGAAGGGATACTAACTGCAATATAAAGAACGCCATTCGAATTCTTTTCAAAATTCCGAAACCACAGGTCACATTAAGGAGCGGAATTGCCTGGGTGTTGTTGTATACTCTGCTTTACAAAGGGGATGTTTCCCATATAAGTAGACTATTAGACAGATATTTAACCGAAATACACACAAACAATATAGGCACATTCCAGTTTAAAATGAAAGTACAGAAGAATATAATGAAATATATAGTTTTATGTAACATCTCAAGAAGTATGTAGGAAATGCCAAAATATATAAAAATAAATATAATAAAATTTAACTCTCATGATGTTAATGGTGCGATTCGTGGAGATTATTACATTTTGAGCATCAACATTGTGAAAAATGAAATATGTATTTACACAAGATTCTTAGCTGTAGCGTGACTTATGTCCGTCCCACCTGAGAACCCTGGCGGACGCTCGCAGCGACTGCAGAACACAGCACTCCCCGGTATCTGCACACCGGTCCGCGAATTGCACGTGGCTTTCAGAAGCCCTTGCGAGTGCGATTACGTAACTAAATTACCCCGAACGCCGACAGAAGTCAACCCAAACCATCTAAATCCAAATGTACGTGATATCAGACAAGGAGAAGCCAGGCACAGGAAGTGTATGAGGCTACAATCTGGCCGTAGCCAAGCGTGCGGGCTTTCAGCTTACTAGCTCGGTTTCGGAGTGGCTAAATTAGTTAAGGCATAACCTGCTGCAGGAGACTGCATTGACGCACACCGTCTGTATACCTTGTCTAAATGTTACTTAGTATAGTGCAGAGACAAAAGAAACAAAATGGCCATAGGGACCTGGACGCTGGGACAGCGCGAATATCCTCGTGCTAAAACCACGGCACAACAAATGTAGCGCCTCCACAGAAAATCCGAACAGTCCCGTCGTTAGAGATAAGGCCCCATTTCTCAAAACTGTAGAGGTTTAGAAAAAAATCTCTGATCAAAGGTCTCGACGAGACCTGAAGAGAAAAATTACTGTGCTGGCAAGGACCAGCAGCAATTTAACAGACAGACAGACGAGTTAGTTATCTGAGAAGAAGTTTCAGCAATGAGCTGTAGAGAGTTGTGAGATGGGAGTCAGCCGGCAACGAAGTTAGCGAGAGCATAAAAATTTCCAGTGTTGGTAACTGTAACCGAGCAACGATCAGTGAAGAATATAACGTAAGAAGACTTGGTATGTTCTGCTGCAATTTTTAAAGTGTGTAGAACCGCGAAACTGTTGCAGTTACTTGTATAGTGACGAGTTGTAATTTTTTCAATAAATCCACTTACCAATGAAAACCCCGTGTCTAGTCAACAACTTGAGACAATGTATTCCTGGATATAGATAAGGCAAAGCTGTTGCTGTGTTTAATTACTTGAGCACCATGCCATGAAGACGTATGGTGGAGTGGAAGTGTAGCTCCACCATTCTTAACCACGGCACTAGAGGAAGGTGAAAGGTCAGTTTCATACCCCAGAGAAACCGTCGCTAGTATGCGTTGACCGGAAGGGTCTTTGGTCCTCAGATCCTGTCTGGAAGCCCTGGAGAAGAGAAAAATCTTGACCTTGATGGAATCAAAGCCGGACCGTCCAACCCGTAGCCCTTCGCTCTACTGACTGAGCTATCCCGTATCTTCATCAATACTTTGCTTATTGCCTCGAAGTACAAGTCCGCCCTTCACAACCAGACAAATGCGCGAGGTAGTGCTGAACTACTGCACTTTCTTCCATTCGGAACAGTAGCTATAGATGACACCGCTGAAGGAACGAAGCCGAACCAGCTTTAAGCTGTATGCAATGTAAAGCGTGTTTAACTGTGTTTAAAACTTAAACCACTATTAATCATTGGTCAGTGGCCGTAATTGTAATGTTTCTTTTTACACATTCAAATTATATATATCACATGTTGTGATGACATCGCTCCCTCGCCTCAACATAAACGGAAGTAATGTCGCGCTATGGAATTATTGCGAATTTTGTGTCTCCGTACATTGCGATACCAGCTGAGTTTGTCTTTTAATATGGCACATGGCACAATTCATGACAGACATTCTTGCCGTTCAATAGAAACAAATGCAACGACATTCATAAAATTATTTAAATATATTTCGTAATGTGTTAGAACAGCAGGTACCGCCAATTATCCCCTGAATTGGTTCCATGAACTCCGGTGTGCGGCGCCAAGGCCCAGAAGACCGAATTACATCCACGATGAAATCCATAACTCCTCAACATATTTTGAAATACTAAGACTTAAAAATAATAATGTGCGTCACCAAGTATAATTAAAATGTTGAAATCAAAGAAGAAAAGATGGACCGGGCATGCAGCACACATGGGAAGAAAGGAAATGTTGGGGAAGCCAGACGGTAAGAGACCACTAGGAATACAGAGACGTAGGTGGAATGATAATATTAAGATGATTCTTAGAGTGATAGGAGTGGATCGTATGGACTGGATTGATCCGGCTAAGGATAGAGACTGTGGAGGCCTTTTGTGAACACGGTAATGAATCTTCGTGTTCCATATTGGGAAATTTTTGAGTAGCTGAGCAACTGGCAGCTTCTCAAGAAGCACTCAACTCAGTGAAGCTAGTTAGTTATAAAATCATAAAATTGTGTACATTGTTTGTCGTTCTGAGGAGCGAATGGTCTTCTTACTTACATTCCCACAAGTTTTTCTAGTGCACTGTTTAAGCAGTGACAAATTTACTCTTTTATTACTGCTACTGCTATTAGTACTATTACTACTACTAGGAATACTAATAATAATATATTCGTACTTCTCAATGTTGTCTGTTTGTATCGGTAGGGAAATCTTATTTATATTATTTGATATTCCATATTTGTAGAGTAAATCAGAAATGATGTAGGAAGAAGATGAGTGCGTTACATTTCAAGGTCCTTGAAGGTCTAAAGGAAACCGTGCTGCGCTTCCTAAATGAGGTAAGTCAAGCACGGGGCTCGATTTAAACCTTGATACGTTATTCAGATGAGGAACAAAGGATGACCCACAACAATAAAACAACTGACAGCAGTCCCCAGCTTAATAACAGTCGTCGTTCTGTACGAGTTTGTGGAAGTGGTACTATTGTCATTTCCGTGGAATGTGAGGACAGAGCAAAGGGAGGGGGAATCGGCTACTGCTAATCTGTGAGCTGCAAGATGTCACAGGATCATAAGTTTTTAGTTGCAAACTCGCTCGAAGCAGAACACGCCGGCCTTCCCGCGCCAATTTCCTGCACATCCTCTGTTTCAACATTTGATCACCCATCCCACACGAGCAAAGGAAGCGGAGATAACAGGATCACATGACCGGAAATAAGGCATCATTGCTCTGTGTCGCGGGCGGTAGGATACTAGGGAACTATGCCTGTCCACCTATGTAACTCCTGTTCCTCTTGTTTTCATTAGAGGAAGGCGATTTATTTCATGATAGAATCTGATGTGTTGGTCTACTAAGTACATTGATCAGACATTGGCTGTAGCATCTCACAGTGTTGTTACAGTGCTAAGGTGAGCTAGGGGGAGCGACTTTTGTCGTGACAAACACTTCCGAAATTCGTAGACTGAGGAACATGGCAAAACCCAGGGATAGATCTAGGAATTTTGTGAGAACGAGTAAGAAACGCGAAACATGGAGCCGTGAATATCAGACAGACTATTGCTTCACGTGTAATTACTTTATTTAGTGAGAGAGAATTTGACACATGATGTTGCGGAGAATATAAGAACCAAGAGGAAGAAAGTAACAAGAGGTTGGAGATAATTGTAGTTGATACCGACAGTGAGCAACTGTATAATTTGTGCTTTTCTCCAAATGTTAAAATGATGCTCATATCAAGGAGGTGCCATCTACGGAGAACCGTTAGAACTAACTGTGGAAGACTTACCTAAATTCGTAATGAATTTAGAATCTCGTAACTTGAAAGAAGACATTCCATAAAACTGTTTTCGTTTACCACGAATGGAGATGAAATATTAATAGTTTTAATAAATCTCAGATATAATTGGGAATAAAATGTACTGCACTGAACATACATTGTTCACACGTGCACAAACGCAGTTTTCCATGGCGGCTGCATCCTTTGATACATTAAGGCCTCTGCTCTCGTTTTCAGCTGTTGCGTCACTCTCCCATTAAAATGCGTGGCCTCTGGTGACATAATTCTCTTTAATAGACATTTCCCGAATTACAATATCCTTTGTGACACTAAAAATTTAATGTAAATTCATGATGAGAAACCTTTCTTCACGTGGGCCACTTTGAAAGCCCCAAAATCTGACCACTCAAGAAACGAATCATAATAGTGAAAAGCTTTGCTTTTCCAACAACAGCTCCCATTAATTTTCTAAGATACAAGAATCATTATTGTTAATACAATGACAATTTTGTATAAAATTTTAGGACATAGTATTTTTTATTTTTCTTCTCCACAGTGTCTAGACCGACTTTGGGGCCCACCCAACTTCCAGTCCCTTAGATACCGGGGACTTTATCGCTGGAGATAAAATGACGGGGGCGTGAAGCTGACCACTTACCTCGATCTAGTGCCACGTTTAAGAAAGTTGGAGCTATACGTCCATTCCCCCTATGTCTTCAGGACTCAGTACTTAACTAATTAAGTACAGGGACAACTTTACGTTTAGTACCGCAGAAGACCAGCTAGAAGCGAATCTCTTCTCTTGGCAGCAGGCACTCAGTCCCTGGAAGGCAGCCGTTTTACGTTCTACAAAACGATACATAAATAAGAAATTGTACTGGTTTCAAGTATGGTGGCCATAAGTCACGATATATAATGCTGATGCTAGACACACAGTTCAAGGTTTTCGTGGAATCTCCCGCTTCATGCTCAGTTGCAGAATCCAGTTTGAAGATGTCAGCAGAGATTTTCTTCGTCTGTCAGATACTTGACTAACATCTGAGCATCTGCCTAATACACGCGTAAAAATGAACCCTTTTGAATGAAAGAAGGGACTCCTTGGCTTCCTTACGTCCTTTGTTCTTACTTTATTCACAAGGTTGTGTGAATCGTGCTTCTGTGGAGAACTCTAACCTCCGTACATTTTCCTCTGAATTTCCTTCGTCTCTCCCTACTGAAGTTACACTTCACATTAGATTAACATATGACGCCCAGTATTCTACCGTAAAATTATCCGTAAGTTACACGAAACACGAGTTAAACCTAAACATTGCAAGAAATACCCGCAGTGTTACCACCGTTGCTGAGAGTGACGCAGCTACTGCGCGTAAGGAGGAAGCCTTGTTATGGCTTATCCCGCAAATAATTTCGCTCTGTTGGCTGCATATAAATGTCTGCTGTTAAAAAAAAAAGTAAAAGTAAAGTATCCCCGTATCAGGCCGTGGAGGCCCATAGGGTTGTGAGATGTTGAGGTTCCCACATTTTCTAGACCAGCGATGACCAACTGGCGGCCCGCGACTTCATTTACTCCGGCCCCCCGCCAAGTCTCAAGTTTATTTTCAAAAATCTTAACTTCACAGCTGTACTGGCATAGAATTCAGTTTTTAACAGGACGTTTCATTAGCTTACAGAATTTTGCAATTGACTGTATACGTTCTTACCGAGTTGGACAGTTCAAACTGTTTTCTAATAACTGTGTTCATGTCATGGAAATTCCAAGTCCCCTGACCCTACTTCTGTAGGGAGATGACACTGAAGGGAAGACCGTAGTGGTGAAGGATTTATGACACCTTCAAAATAATAACCATTCCCAGCTTGCTCGCAGGGATGGGATGTTTACCGTTTCTCTCGGCATCCTGGCCGTTGTTAAGTGCCAGCTTTAGCAGAAATGTCTCCCAGTTAGTGGGATTTTAGAAAGTGAAGTGTGATTACGGAGTGTGAGTGTAGAACTGTTTTTAAATTAAAATTGTGTTTGAAGTTATTGTGAGTGATACAGCATGTCAAATAGTAAATTGAGAGAAGTTGATAGTGAAAATAGGGCGTTCAAATCTGAGTGGGAA